CGGGTGACGCCATTTTTTCCAACTTCCGAAAAACTGACAGCGATAAAAATACAGTGTAAACAATACACTCTAAACTACTTCTACCCAAATTTTCAATAGATTACACCCAATGGGTAATTTTCTACAGAGTTTTTTTCCGTGATGCAATTTGATGTGGGACACCCTTTAATAGCCATCCCAGAGTTCTTGAGAGCCATGACCATTGGCTGATATCTCTCCGGGAGTTTGGCCAGTAACCCCTCGAGTATTGGAAATCGAATGTCGTTCGAGAAGAAGAGAAACTCGTCAAAGCTACCATTGAAGTCTCATAATGAAATGCTATCTAGATTTCTCTTGATTCTATTACCAACCAACCAATTTTACCCCGGTGATCAATTTGGCCCCAGATCCACAGTAGTTAATTGTTGTAGATGTAGATCAGGAGTTGCCACCATATCAATCCTATACGTTTGACAGTAGGCAAGATCACTGGCCTTATTTAAATACGGCCCGCCTGACGTATACATGAACGAAAGGGACGCAAAATCGTGTTGTAAGCAGAAAGACAAGAGCAGATGAAAACATCAAAAACTAGGCCGCCAGCCAGGCCCCTGATGTAGATGCCATGTCTTTATTTGATTTTCTTTTTCGTTTACTGTGACCGTGCTACTTTTGAGGACATACTACACGCAAAAAAAAGGTTCCTATATTTGTGAAGTAAAAATCATGAAATCAGAACTCTCAGTTGGTTCAAAGTCATGACTTGATTCCCGAAAACGTGATGTGTAAAGTTGATTCCTTGAAGAGTCCAAACATGACCGACCATCATGCCTCATATATCCTTTCCAGGGCTATGCATTTTCGAAACAAAGAAAAGAAAATGAAACTCTGCGCAGAATCGCTTTCGCAATACCATTTTCGTGTAAGTCATTGTGTTCCTTGTTATCGAGTCAAAATGAACATACCTCCTTTCAAACATGACTTGACTATCGCTTGTTTTGTTCGTCAAGTGTTTCAGTTCAGTTCATTTGAAGCAAAAACTTGTTTCAATTGACGCCATGAATGACTCGAAAACTGCTTACTTAGTTTTTTTTCCCCTTTCACTTCAATTCTGGCTCATTCGACTTGTCACGCATCGCGTCGTCGAGCATAAAAATATAGTATCGGCACAATATCGGTTGTCGATAGGGATGGCATCCGGATTATATGTAGTTATAATATATTATTTTATGTTAAACGAACATTAAATTAACGAGGCCATTCTGGAGTCCAAGATAGCGGCTATCGGGGTCAGGAAAAGTCTCAAATACCCTACAATAGGATATTTTCCTCGATATTTTCAGAACGGTGATGGCACGTAGATGCTATCGATACCCAACGCCATTTTGAAATTCAAAATAGTGACAATTGGTTTTCGGAAGTGTCACATACCCTAAAATATGGGTATTTTAGGAACGGGAAAAACGCTTAGATGTCAAAAATCGATATCCGACGCTATGTTGGAATCCAATATGGCGGCCATCAGGATTCATAAAGTGCCAGATACCCTACAATATGGGTATTTTCAGAACGGGGACGATGCGTAGAAGCCAAAAACCGATATTCTACGCCATTTTGGAATCCAATATGGGTATTTGCGGAACGGGGACAACGTGTGGATGCCGAAAATCGATATCCGGCGCTATGTTGAACGCCCATATGGCGGCTATCGGTTTCAGAAAAAGTTTCAAATACCCTAAAATATGGTTATTCTCGGAACGGGGACAACGTGTAGATGCCGAAAATCGGTATCAGATACCATTTTGGAATTCAATATAGCGGTCATCAGGGTTTAGAAAGCATCAAATACCCTACAATATGGGTATTTTCGGAACGGGGACAACGGGTAGATGCCGAAAATCGATATCCGATGCCATTTTGGAATCCAATATGGTGGCCATCGGGTTTCAGAGAAAGTGTAAAATACCCTAATATCAGGATATTTTTCGGAACGGAGACCTTTCCGATTCCCACGACGCGTAGATGCTGAAAATCGATATTCGATAGCCATTTGACACTTCTTCCGAAATCGGAAGCCACCATCTTGAATTTCAAGATGGCGTCGGACATCGATGTCTAGATGTCACCCCGATTCGGAAAAAAACCCACATTGATCGGTATTTGATAGTATTTCACAGTTTCTCTGCACCAAAGCCGCCATCTTGGATTTAAAGACGATTGTGGCATCATTTTTGGCTTCTACGTCTCATTCGAGCGAGCGACGCATCTAAATCTCAATTCTAAATGCTCAAAAAATCTCACACTAGCGAATTAATCTTTGAAAGATCTTCTTTCATTTCTAGCATCTACTTGCATCCCGCTTCATCTTTTTGCAGGAATTTTCAGAATCGTCAGCAATTTTCTTTCTATCTACTCACCGTGCGTGCAGCTAGCCATAGTAAAACACAATCTTTCCTGCATCGTAGATAGAGTCGTCCCCCTCGGTCTCATCCCCATTCTGAAAATAACCATATTTTAAGGTATTTTCGGAAGTCGCTGTCTTGGATTTCAAAATGCCGTCGAATATTGATTTTCGGCCTCCCGATTCCAAAAGAACCTTTATTGATGGGTATTTGACAATATTTCCCATTTGTTCTGAAATCGGAAGCCGCCATCTTGGATTTCTAAATGGCGTCGCATATCAATTTTCGATCTGTAGACTTCGCAATGATTACAAAAATGTCAATTTTTCTTTTCCATCTTCAATTTCGAAATGGTGTCGGATATCGATTTTCATCCTCTAAACATCACCTCGATTCCAAAAATACCTTAATTGATAGGTATTTGACAGTATTTCCCACTTTTTATTAAACTGGAAGCCGCCGAAAGGATTTAAAATGGTGTCGCATATCAATTTTCGATCTCAAGGCGTCATCCCGATTAAAAAAACAAACCACCTAAAAATGATTAATTTGACATCCACGTGCACAGATCTATGCGCATACGTATACGAGTTAACAATCAACAAAAGTCATAAAAACTGCGCGATTGAACAGCTTCGCTTCAATGCAAAAGTAAGTTCATTTGACAATGAAAGAAAAAATTAACACGAGTCAAGCCAAAACAAACAGCATAAAAACTGAGAAAGTGGTTCTGTTGATGTTGACATGGGGATCTGCTCGGAAGAGAATACAGAATGACTTTCAATTGAAAGTGATGGCTTATAGCTTCATCGTCACTTGAAGATTTTCGATTGCAAGTGACTTTGTGGGGCCCTGATCCTATCACTTCAAGTTTCCTAGCGCACATATCTCGGACTGCACTGCAGCGAACATGGAGTACCAGTTTCATAGTTGTCTGTTTAGTGATAGCTGATATTTTTGTGCATTAGAAATTTCGATGTGATAGGGGAAAAATCTACTTCGGCCTAATGGCCCATTCCCGGCCTATCGAGCACAACATATATCTATGATATCGGCGTGGACGTGTCAAACAAACGTTTGGTACGATGCTTCTATTCAATAGCTGCAAGACGAAGTTTCCGTTCGATAGACCGAAGAGAATCCCAATGGCGTTTCAATAGCTAATAGGCCCAAGAAACGCCAGAAGCAGCCAGTTATCAGAACTAACGGTACATATGGAAAGGTAGATAAATTTGGAAGCTATCTGTAATAATAACGTTCCGTTTGGTGCTAAACTACGCTAGGTTATGAAAGACTGGGAATGGTATAGTTAACGAGATTAATCAGAACAGGGTTTCCACAGCAATTCACCTTAATTCACATTTTCATAAGCAATATTCCAAATCCTTAAACTTAGTTCATGTCTGTTCTCCACCACCAATCATTTCGTGACGCAATAAAATATAGAAACCAAAATCATGATATCATGATGCGTAATTTCGTTCCAGTTTTCGTGGACATTGTTCATGTACACATATAGCAGCTGTCATTTTGAATAACGCAAGCAAAACAAGCAGATATACATAATGATTAACATTTACGATCTTTATTCATGGTTTACATTCGTAAAGCGAAAATCGATTTGTTCCGAAATTCGTGATTTGAGGTGGATGGATTTCGGAACGAATTTTTTTACGTGGGACTACGTCTGTGATTTCTATATGGGGGTACACTGTAACAAAATTATGAAAGATTTTGAACGTTAATAACTCAGCTCTCCCTGGACCAATTTCAATAATTTTAACACCAATCGATCAGAAATATTTCTATGCATCTGTTTAATTCAAGACTGCATCATTTTTCAAAATGTCACTATTAAAAATTGCACGAATGTGCAACTGTTGCTATAATAGTTAAAATTATCACCGATTGCCTGCGAAAAGCGATTTCCCTAACACAGATTTCAAACTTACATTCCATCCGGTCTCACCATACGGTGTTTATTCAATCGCGTGGTGAGTGGTGGAGTTCTCCAGTACCGAACGAAAGGCTCCCCGCAGGTAGCTAGCTATCAAGACTGCCCACAACCGCTGATCGAATTCAGTTTCAATCACCGTGTGTGGTGTTGTCCGGTCATCGGCATCAACAGCAGCAGTGCTTTCGGCACGTGGCGTTGACATTGTTCTCCAGTACACAACGAAAGGCTGCCTGCAAGCAGTGAGCTGCAGCCCACATGAGCATTCATAGAATGAGGAAGAAGCCGCACCGCTATTGATCGGAATCAGTAGCTCTGCGTGAGTCGCTGTGGGCGATCTATGTCAAGCGCGTCATACAAAAGAGTATAAACAGAGAGAACCCCGCTAAAATTCCTATTCATACACAAAACACAAGCTCCTGCTGCAGTTAACAAATAAGATTTATTATATAAGACCACGTAGTCCTACGTCACCATTGCGTACAACCCTATAGGGCTGTCCCTTGTAGTTTTTTTTCCGTGTAATAATCCTGAAAAGCATGCTGGTAGCTTTCTACGTTATGTTCATCTTGTTATCTCTATAAATATTTGATTAAGAATTAAGTTTGTGTAAGTCTTTGTCTATGTCTAATTCATAATTTCTTCTCTCTTGTCCCACTCAACAGGTGATGAAGAAATGTTGGTCGCATGGCCCCGAAGATAGGCCCGGTTTCCGGATACTCAAAGATCAGTTGGCAGCCGTCGCTCAAGGTCTCACCGATTAAACAACTCCTGGTAATCTCAGCCACAAACTACAACCACAGACACCGATGATGCAGACACACATACACAACAAACACCTTATACACAAACACACACACCTACACCTACACCTACAAATACGTCGTATATAATATATACATTAAAAGAAATACCAATTTTATCCTAGAGCTAGTAGGGAATTCTGTTTTGTCTTTTCGAAGCATCTCTATCCATATTGAATTTACTCACTTGGCCATTCCAAGATTTACTAGTGAAGGAGGAGGGAAAGTGAAGGACAGTGTTGTTTTTGTTTTGTATTGGAAGATATCGTGCTTACAAACGAAGCAAACAAAGTGTAAACTTAACCATATCTTTGATGCTGAAGAAAGCAAACATTAAGGAAAACGTGAGAAAGACGCGAAACCATTGTCTGCCACCAGTAAACCAGTCAAACCCGAATGCAGCTCCCAACTTACCACCCTCACAGATGAAAGAGAAAATAGCAAGTAGGTAAACGGACTTGAGGAAAACGAAAATTTAAACACTCCAGTAAATAGACTAATCAATATTACATTTACGGATAGCGTTATACATAACATACATACGAACGCAGAGAGCAGTCATTGTCATTTTGGTCCTTTTCGGTGCTGATCTTTGAAATGAAAGGGACACAACCATTCCTAGAAACGAGTAACGCGAACTTCTCATTTTCCTGTAAACGAAATTCTTATTTCTCACCTGTATTTCAATAACTATACAGACGACCTACACACTGACTGATGCACACTTAACAAAAAAAAAAGAAGAACTAAAAATAAACAAAACCAGTTACACAATGGATAACAACAACTAGGTAATCAGCAATTACGAATGCAAATTTAAATCAAAATCATAGGTTTTCCAGTTTTTTGCTGCGCTAGCGCCAAACGAAGAGTCAGGAAGACGGGAGAACGGAAATAAGCAAGAGAAGATACAATAATTTTTGTGACTACTTATAGAGTTTTAGAGAAGGAGGAGAAGGAGAAGGAAGAGGAGGAGGAGGTCGGTGAGACTCGGTCGGATTCGGCGAAGTAACGAAAACACGGATTGAGGGTTAGAGGAAACATGAGTGATTTGATTTTGGTTTTGTCTCAGTTTTGATTTACGGTTTTTCAACACCAAGTGACTAGAACTATCCTCCTTTTTTTCGTTTTACACTAATTTCAGTATCATTACTTGTATTATTCTTTGCGACACAGTGGAAAACAAACGAAACAATAGTAGAAAACGTAGCTTTTAAGGGGAAGTATCGGAAGCAGAAGCAAGAAAGCATAAGTGATATTTAATATCTTTAGTTTACTTTAAGAGATGTTTATTTAACTGTACCATGTCTGTGTCTACTCGGAAGTGAATGCATTATTTTATGATCGTCGTTTGTTTCTGTACCACATTCTCTTTTTCTCCCAAACTGAAGTCATTTATTTTGAGTAAATAGGTTTTTTTTTCGTAGCTGAGCTTAGATTTTTTTTTGTGTATAGTGAAAGTTCGATTATCTCAAAGTTTAATTTGCGTAAGACATCGTTTGATTTTGTTCTTCCTTTCAGTGAAACAAGCAAACAAAACAATAAGGATACATGACTACATGCAAGCGTCGGTTCAACGTTACATGTTTTCATGTGCACGCGATAGTTAGCATTATTTATCGTATTCCAATAATGCTTGTATTCGATGAAGAAAAAAAAGAAGAGTCGTATGAAAAGAAACACAAAAATATTCAAGAGAAAACAAGAAATGCCATTTTTACAATACTTGAGTATAGGACTTTAATGTTTAACAAGAAGACGAAGAAGAATAAAAAAAACTATAGCAGAAAGAGTAAAACACACAAAACAAAACAAACAAGCATATATAAATGAGCGTAGAATTATACGGATTCAAAATCAAGCCAATATTCTTAGGATTTGAAGTAACCGATAGTTCCAGGGAAAACTATCCAGACAGACACAGAGAGATGCGATTGAATCAAAAAAAGAAAATACAGAAATCATTGAACCTACCAACACAAAGAAAGGAAACTCATGATGAATTGTCGAATAATTTTTTCGAATCATATATTATACATTTTTACGTAAGCGAGCCCCCATGTGACTATGCACTGGCTCGTCGTCGCGGAGAGGGAACGAAACATTAAAGAGCCAAAATCCTACCGAAGCTGTTCGATATCGGTAAAGGGTGTAGTAGCAGTGGTTCATCGAAGCGGGCGAACAAATAGGAAAATCACATGAACTCTGTTCGCTCTGTGTCGAAATTTAGATGGATCCACGTAAGCAAAAGAAACAGGATTACAACATGGATGTCTTTTATTCGAAATCAACTAAAACCAATAATACAAATCGAAAGCAGATTATGTCTTGTATGAAAAATAACCGGTTGGTGGTACGTTTTGCTGGTAGAACACAAAAAAAAGAAAGCCATCTAAGAGCCTACGGGCATCGGTTACTACTTTAAACCGCGTTCATGTCTCCAAAAGCCTTCTGTGCTTCCTCGTTCAAGCTAAAAAATTTCGTTGCTTTCTTGAGTAAATCCGAGATTGGAGTGACAATTAATCATTTTGTCAAGCTTCTACATTCATGTTTATTTATTTGTCAGCATCATCAGACTCGATATGGTCCCAATGATGGTTTAACATAAAATTAAAATTAAAGTTATGAGTTAAAACTATAAAACATTAAAACATGATCATTGACTGTTTCCATTCCTGGAGAAGAATGAAGAGAAACATCTCCGAAGTGTTAGTCGTGGCAGGTGAAAATCGAATACTGATGAAACTCGGTTAAATACTCGCTGCAGTTGATTGCATAGTTTTTCCTACGTAGTGGCATTCTCAGCATAGCATTGTTACGAAGCATTCGGGGTTGGACGTTAATGTTTACTATGTAACGTGTCCGCGACAAGCAGGGCTTTTGAAGTATCTCTTCTGGTGCGAAGAGGCTCCAAGTCGATCAGCTGGCAGCGACTTTCATAGCTGGGCAAATGAAACGGATCTCTCCAAGGTAACATTCTCAACGCGTATCGCATTGTTGTAGTTCGGACTCCAAACCACAGAACAATATTCTAGAATGGAACGTACCAGGGAACAATACAGTGACTTGAGGCAATGGATGTCGGAGAAATTCTTAACTGTTCTGAACCCCAATGTCCTTGACGACTTGTCGACGACGTACGAGATGTGTTGCTTATATGTAAATTGAGAGTCCAGGATGACACCTAGATCTTTTACATGGCTCACACGTTCAATAATGGTGTCCCGGAGAGCATAGTGAAAAATAACTGGTTCTTTCTTTCGGGTAAAAGTGATGACTGAACACTTCGCAGGATTTACTGTCATTCGGTTCAAATGGCACCAGCTGGCAAACGCTTCAAACTGACGTTGGAGGAATTGACAATCATCGATCGAGCAGATCCGTAAGTAGATTTCTAGATCGTCTTCATACGATAGTCGTGGACCTTCGATAACTAAATTCACGTAATTGAAGTAGAGTAAGAAAATCAACGGTCCCAGATGACTTCCTTGAGGTATTCCTGACGTCCATGGGCTACCACCAACTGACAATCAGCGAGATATGAGCAAAACCATCTCAAGAGATTTCCGCTAATCCCCAGTCTATCCAATTTGGCGATCACGATGGCGTGATTTATCTTATCGAAGGCAGCAGACAAGTCAGTGTAGATGACGTCTGTTTGTGACCTTTCAACCATACTTTGCGTGATGTACGATGTCAGACACAGTAGATTCGTGGTAGTAGATCGACCAGTGGTGAAGCCATGTTGATCTTCACTTAGATACTGCTTGCAATGGGAGAGCAGAGGCTCTATGATGATTAACTCGAATAACTTCGAAATTGCGCACAACGATGTAATTCCACGATAATTATCCACGTTCCGTTTATGTACACAGGGAACATATGCGCAAATTTCCAGTTCGATGGAAAAATGCCACACGATATGGATAATCGGAACAGATGTTGTAGCGGTGACAGTAAGTTAGCGATATGCTTCTTCAGAAAGACTGAAGGGACACCATCCGGTCCAGGGTTGATAGAAGGCTTTAGTTTTAGTGCGGCAGTCGTTATCACTTCAGCGTTGACAACAATTCCACCCAGAGCTTGACCGGAAAGTGGAACGTTGCTTGCTGCTAGAGTCACGTATTCGTTGGTTAAGCTCTCGTCAGAGAAGACACTTGCAAACTTGTTGGAGAACAGGCGGCAGACTTCCTGTGGAGTGGAAGCGACTTCGCCGTTCAATATCATGGATATTGCTAGACCGGACTCTCTGCGCTGCTCCTTCACGTACTTCCAGAAAGACTTCGGGTGCGACTTGAATTTCCTTTGAATCCCTCGCAGATAATACAAGTAGCATTGATGGCTGACTCGCTTGAACTGATAATTGAGCTTAACGTAGTGACGTTTCAGTGACATCGTTCGATATTTAGTGAATTTCCTCAACGCGGCTCTCTTGATCGATTTCAGCTTCTTCAATTCGTTCGTCTGCCAAGGGAGGTGCGATGCAATCTGGTGAACGCTCTTAAAGGGTGATACGGTCAAAATTTGGTCAAGGGAAAACGCGTGTAAATCGGTGAAATCGTTTATTTAAAAAATCAAATTAAATTTCTTTTTCAAGTTCAATTAGTATAAAATTCAGGAAAAATATTCAGTTAGGCTTCCGCTTTTCCAAATCCGAATTGCCGGGCCTTACGCTTGACCCCTGCCATCAGATTTTGTACAGCCACCTTGTCCACCTTCTTCGCCGCAGAAAGCCAGTTTGCCTTGAACTGCTGCTCGCCCTTAGCAGTTTTTTTGGTCTTCTTTAGGTTCCGCTTGACAATAGCCCAGTATTTCTCAATTGGGCGGAGCTCTGGCGTGTTGGGAGGGTTCTTGTCCTTGGGAACCACCTGCACGTTGTTGGCGGCGTACCACTCCATGGCCTTTTTACCGTAATGGCAAGATGCCATATCCGGCCAAAACAGTACGGAACAACCGTGTTTCTTCAGGAAAGGTAGCAGACGTTTATTCAAACACTCTTTCACGTAAATTTCTTGGTTGACAGTCCCGGAAGCTATGAAAATGCTGCTTTTCAAGCCACAGGTACAGATGGCTTGCCAAACCAGATATTTCTTTGCGAACTTTGACAGTTTCATGTGCTTGAAAACATCTGCTACCTTTCCCCATCCTTTTGCCGTATAAAACTCCTGTCCCGGAAGCTGCTTGTAGTCGGCTTTGACGTAGGTTTCGTCGTCCATTACCACGCAGTCAAACTTCGTCAGCATCGTCGTGTACAGCCTCCCGGATCGCGCTTTGGCCGTCGTATTTTGTTTATCATCGCGATTTGGAGTCACTACCTTCTTGTAAGTCAATAGTCCGGCTCGTTTTTTGGCTCGATGCACGGTTGTAGACGATACACCCAGCTTATTTGCGGCATCTCGGAGAGAGAGGTTAGGGTTTCGCTTGAAACTACCGGCAACTCTCTTTGTCGTCTCAGCGGCTTCCGGTTTTCGATTTCCCCCCGATCCAGACTTCCTGGTTGTCGACAAACGTTCCCCAAACACTTTAATTACATTTGTAACGGTTGATTTGGCAACTTTTAGCGATTTTGCCAACTTTGCGTGCGAGTAGCTCGGATTTTCGCGATGCGCGATCAAAATTTTGATACGCTGCTCTTCTTGCTTGGACGGCATTTTGACAACTGAAGAGTGAATTCCAAAATCAAAATAGGAGCAACATTCTACACACACACACACCTTCAAAATGAGGGGTGTTCAGGTTTTTTAAATGCAAAATTGAAAGAAATACGTCAAGTTGATATTGACCAAATTTTGACCGTATCACCCTTTAGGTACACGAAACGAAAATCAAGTATTTTAAACATGTGCTTCACTTATACATTTTTGCCAAAACATCAGCCTTATACATTCCATAAGATAAACCACATAGGTCCTATAAGAATGCATAAAAGGTATGTGTGACTGCTCATACATTTCATTTGACATATGATATTCGTTAACTTTTTGCAAGGCGTATGCCTATTACTTGACTTATACATTTTATGAATAATCAGCAATAGAAATTTGCCAAAAGGTATAAGGAGATTTCTATCCGTGTACGTGTCTGTCAATGACATAAGCCAAGACATGTGAAAAAGTTTGAGCAGCGGTTTCGACGTTATCAGAATCGAGTATGTTTTCCCAATCAATGCTTGACAGCACATCGGCAATGCTACGATGATCGGCTTTCAGGAAATTGTAAGACACCGTAGTGGAGATGTCTTCGAGATCCCGAATGTGATTGTCTTCAACAGTAATAACCAAAGGAGGATGATGAGGAACTTCCTTTACGAGTGGAGAAGGAGCCGACGAGATGAATGGAGCCGTATCCTGAGCGCTTACGAAACAGAGGTCTAAGCTACGATTGTTCTCGTTAACCACGGGATTGATTTGAGATAACGTCGCTGCGCTATAGCTGTCGAGAAGGCTAACTGATCCAGGATGGAAAGCAGAACCAGCGGGGTCCGGAAAGAGAAAGCCACTGTGGGAAGGTTTCCACGAAACACCAACGAGATTAAAGTCGCCCAGAACAATAATCTCATCGATAGGAGACATCTAATATGGTGAAATTGGATCGACAACGAGTTTCGATAAGTTCAATGTCGCGAACTCGGTCGGGTGCAATGTATATCACACATAAGTACAGTGTGTGATCGCTCAGCTTGACAGCTACCCATGCCTGTTCAACGCAGTTCCACATGTCGTGCTCTATGGCTCTAGCATTCAACTCGGACCGAACAGCCGGACACCATCACCAGTGGACTTTCGACTATTGTTCGGGTTTCGATCGCAGCAACATACCTCGTACTCACATCCGAACGCTTGGCTGGAAAGCGTTCGAGAGTCTAGCCATGTCTCGGCTAACAGGTACTCGTGAACGTCAGAATTCATTCCACCGATGTTATGGTAGTACATGGTGATATCCTCTCTTCGGCG